CCCCCCCCCCCCCCTTTTCCTTCATGAATTAAAATTTGGCACACTGGAGTCAGAAAATATCTTTTAAAAATGAATTTTTTTTTTTGGTAAAAAAGTTGAATAATCATATGAATTTTCTATAAAAAAAAATAAACGAAACAGAATCCAACAAGACAGGTCGGTCCATAGGAAATAGTTAGGCATCTCTTTCTTCTCTTCATGTTTTGTGTATTTCTTCTGAATGAAATCAATGTGTGGTGGGATCATAAAACTGTCACAGCAGTAGTGGGTTAAAAATAAATAAAAAAATAAATCCATGATTCCTTTATTGAAAAACTTTAAGAACAATAACAAATATATATATATATATATATGTATGTATATAATGGTAGCTCTTAAGGTATTTTTGCAGGCCAGAGTTAGTGAGTGATTCCCCAATACACTTTTATCTTATTACACAACCTTTTTAAATAATTAAAAAAATAAATAAAAGAAAAGTCCAAATTCAATAAGTGAGAGACTGCTTCACCGCCACGTGGCTCCAAACCCGTACAAATACAAAACAAAAAAATTCAATTGAGAGAGAAAAACAGTTAAATTTTTATTTTAAATCGGATAATAAATGACAAAACAACCAACAGACCGTAACCGGGCAGATCATGGGCCCCATCTACTGCTTTGCCACGCTGGCATTCCACGTGGCTGACTCGCATACGTACAAGAATCGGAACCAACTCTACACGTGTCGCCGTAACCACGACGTGCCAGTTACTCTTTCCATTTACCGCTAACAAATACTTTTTTACTTTTTTCTCCAAATTCTTTTCCAGAAATACCCCTGTAAAGCAGCACAAATCACGGACCTGACCACTCCACCGTTTTTTTTTTGTCCTTTTTGTTTCATAAATTTATGGATTAATTGCTGCAAGTGCAGGAACAAAAAAAAAAACAGATTTACTTTGTAGAAAACAATAAATAGCTTTTAGCAGTAAATCTTTTAGCAAAAAATTAAGAAAAAAAATAAACAGCTCGACAAAGCCATGGAAAAAGTGTAACACAACTTTCATGTGTAAAATCATATATTTCTCTTCCGAGATTAAAGAAATAATATCTGTTGCTTAGAACTTATTTAAAGGAAACCCCAATACAATCAATCAGAAATGTAATAAAAATCCAAACTTTCACTAAAAAGCCTAAAAATGCAGTGGTTTTTGCAACACGTAATAAGTAAAGACTGTGACTTTACAGCCGGAAAGAGGTGGGTTCTCTGTATATTTTCATATCACTAAAAATGAAGTTTTCCTTTTTTATATATATAAAAATATGGGTAGGTAAATTTGTTGTCAATCTTTTCAAGTAGATTTTATTCATTGAAAATACTAATTTAATTTTGATGTTTTGACTTTTATGAAACTCTAAAACCCTATCTTATTGATTTGTATAAAAATAGGAAACAACCACTTGGTTAAGGTTCGTTTTTTATTTTGCTCTTTTTTTAAAAAGAAGAAGGGAATCCAAATCCAACGCCCTTTCCACGCACATCAAAGTAAATGCCGAAACGCATGCAATTGTACGATTCTTCCACCTAAAATATCTCTACATCTATATATATATGTATTCCCCTCCTCGATCTTCTCTCCGTCCGTTTCAATTCCTATTCTCTCCCTCTTCTTGTTGCTCCGGCACTCCTTCCATGGCTGTCGAAGCTCGTCGTCTCCCTCTCTCTCCTTCTCAACTCTTATCCAACCGGTCTCTCTCTCTCTCTCTCTCTCCCGTGATTCGATACATTTTCGTCGTTTTCCATGGAATCCGATCGGATTTTCTTGGGATTCAGTGTGTTTCGTGTATTGGGTAATCAACGATCTGAAAATGGGTTTTTCGTTTTTTGTTTTATTCGGGTTGCAGAGAAGCGATGATGAACACCATGGAACCAAGCGCCGGTTTCTGCACCAAACAGACGGCGTACGGCGCTGCGCCGTCGATTACGGCGGCGGATACGTCTCGTCTTCATATTTACGACTACGGCGATACCGCCGCCGTCCCCACCACCATGGATTCGTTCGCTCCTCAGGTCGTCAAGTCCGTCGATGTCTCCTCCTTCACGTACTACGACGGCAGCAATATCAACTGTGATGTCTTCCCGTTACCCTCGAGAAAACGGTCGAGAGATTCTATGGCGACTTACCCCACTCTTCATCAGAACTCAAGGTCGTGTGCTCCTTTGTCGTTTCTCGGCCAAGATATATCGTTGCAGATTCACCAGCAACAGCTCGAAACCGATCGTTTGATCGCCTTCCACGTAAGCTTCTTCCCCAACATCTCAGAAAATCGCTTACTCGCTTGTATCAGTAACCCTGACGAGCATTGATCATTCATTCTCGTATTCGAGCTTCTATCATGAATTCATGCGCCAAATTGAATACTCCATTTTCAACTACCCAGTAAAAGAACACGACATCTTCGCCACGGAAAATTTTCTAGAAATCGCCTGTTTTCAAATATTATAATTTTCTCGCACCAATGGGTATCTTGCTGTTTTTTTTTTCTAGTACTACCGTACGAATGAGCTAGTTTGTCGTAGAGTGTTCATCAATGGATGCTAGCTATTTATACGCCATGCCCATGAATCATCAGAAGTTATATTCTCAAAATGGCGCAAAATCAATGTGAAAAAAATGCATCGTGGGGTTCATCCACAAGATTGTAGTTGATTTTATTTTTCTGGGAATTTTGACAGATGGGGAGAGTGAAGATGGAGATGGAAGAGAGGAGGAAGAGGCAAGTGAGGACGATGATGGGGGCGATAGAACAAGGGGTGATGAAAAGGCTGAGAGCCAAGGAGGAAGAGAGGGAGAAGCTTGAGGATCTGAACAACGCGCTTGAGGAGCGCGTGAAGTCACTCGCCATCGAGAACCAGATTTGGCGGGACCTCGCTCAGACCAACGAAGCCACGGCTCAAGCCCTCCGCACCAACCTCGAGCAGGTCCTGGCGCAGGTGAAGGACATGCACATCCCCCCGGTCGGCGGCGCACGCCTGGGATTATCCTGCGCCGACGCCGGGTCTTGCTGCGGGAGCAACGACGGCTCCGGAGAGGAGGAGGACGTGGAGAGGCGCGTTTTAGCGGGGGAGGCGCAGGATAAGGGGAGGATGTGTAGGAGCTGCGGGGAGGAGGAATCGTGTGTGGTGCTGTTGCCGTGCAGACACCTGTGTCTCTGTGGGGTTTGTGGGTCCACTCTGCACACGTGTCCCATCTGCAGATCCCCTAAGAACGCTAGTGTTCATGTCAACATATCATCATGACCCTTCCAGAGTTACAAAAAAAAAAAATTGGAATATATTATTATTTAATTTGACAGACCTGACCAACCAAAAAAAAAATCAACAATGAAATTCTTTTATTCGTGCATTTTCTCCATTTTTTACTGTTTTAATTATTTATTTAAGAAATTGGAAAAAGAAGGGAAGAGACGGGTGAAAGCCACGCGCTGATAGAGACGCGTGGGGTCGAAGGAAGATGGGGCAAGTGACAGTTGAAGGAGTAAAAAGCTGACACGTCGGACGCGCGCAATTGTCGCTGTTCTTCCTGTCCCACTGACACCACCTCTCTCCTGCCCCACCTTTTTTAGACTAATCAATTATCTGTTACATTATTTATTTATTTATTTATTTCTAAATAAATAAATTTGATGGGTCGATCGTGATCAAATTAACACGTTGGTTAGTTTCTAAATATTGTTATGACGTGGATAAAGAAAATATATGAAAAATTATGATTTAATTAAGGATTAGATTAGAGCGTATACATATATCCACACAATTATTTTAATTGTTTAATTTTATTAATCCACTCCTATTGCTTTCCAAAACCAATCTTTCTAAATATCGCATGGAAATTTTAATTGCAATAAAGTCATGGCTCCAATTAAATAGCATAATAATCCAAATATGTATGTATGTATGTATGTCACGAGAAAGTGATGTGGTGAGATGTACCATAAATAAAAAGGATATTTATATACATACTTTTGTGTGTAATAATACAAGTCCAAAAACTGACGCACTCTACTATTATTTCCTTTTTATGTAATTGTTCCCTATATATTATGCTAATTAAACTTTTGATTAGTTGCACTTGACGTCTCGATTAAGTGATAAACATAAAATATTAAGCCGATAAGCATATATATATATTTAGTGGATTAAAACTATTGTATCCGGAGAGAGAGAGAGAGAGGCTCCATATATATATATATATATATATGCTCAAAAACATTTGACATAATCAACCACCGTTTGTTTATTCAATAAATCGAATAAAAAATATACAAAAGGTTAATTATTGATCTCAATGACGAATATATTTATATTCATCTGTTATTTTAATCTAAAAATCAAATCAAAATATTTGAAAACAATAAATAATAGAATGGATATTTAATTTTTTAAAAAATAAATTAGTTTTTTGCATATGTGAAAAAAGGAGGAGAAACAAAACATGGGGAGGTGGTGAATGCGCAGTCCACCGAACAAGCAACATAAATCTCAAGAAAGTGCTTGTTTGCTCAGATTTCATTTACTATTTTAATTTATCTGTCTTTGCAAATACTTTTTAAAAAAAAAATCAAATTAATTAATTTACTTAATTAGTATTTAATCAACAATATTAAATAATGATTATGTAAACTACATTTTATTGCCATCAAATGATGGTTTGCGAGCATTTTATCGCCATCAATGTGAATATTAAACTAATTTCTTAACATAAAATAAGTTATAACCATTTACTATTTTGTTTATTGCAAATTTAACTTATGGGTTTTTTTACCCCAAAAAAAATAACTTATGGGGAAGACCACGACAGAGAGAGTGACACTTAACCTATTGGTGTTTTATTTATTTATTTATTGCACATTTGAATAATCTAAGGACCATTCCATGCCTTTTTCCCATAAATAATAATTATTGTTATTTTTTATTTTTTGAAAGGAGGAAATTAAAGCAAAGGTGGAAGACATTGGTATAAAGTGATGGATATATTACATTGTTTGGTGTTTAGGGTTTGTGTCGTGCAAGTTGTCCACTTCCGGTTATATTTCACTTACTACTTTTTTTATATTGAAGGTTTAAATAGATTTTAGATTTATGCCATATTATATTGATTGTTTTAATTTGTATAATGATAAGTGATACGGTAATTTATATTTGAAAAATCACTTACTACTATAATACATATAAAAAGAATTGAATGGTTAGTTCATAAAAATCCGTAAAATAACTGAAACCCTCAATCCACTGCATTTCAATGTTACCATTTAAAACATTTATAATAATGTCATTGTAATACCTATATATATATATATATATATGTGATTGATGGATGTTGTGAAAGGGGGCATTCATGAAATGGTCCCATAATCTTTAAGCCTATTTGATTGCTTTTGTCTTTTGTGTGTTCTATGTCCTTAGAAAACATTTGTATCTTAATCTTTGGAGGAGGGACCAAATCCATCACTCCCCACACCACTTGATGATATGTGGACCCCCTCCCTCCCCAAAGGTTAGATTCATAATCTAATGGGCAAAACATATAATTCCATGTCACATATATATATATATATTCTTTAATCTCTCCCTTTGAAGAGCATCCAAAAAATTCCCTAACGACATTCTTGATACATACATACATACATATATATATATATATAGAATTTGAATTTTATTACTAGAGATTAAGATAATCTCTCTTATCTTGTAACTCAATAAATGGGATGAGATCTGCCAATATCTTAGAAGATGGATTAGTGAGGTGGAGAGATGACAATGTAGGATAAGCAAAAGCACTAAGGGCTTTTCCCCTTTTACTCGGGAATATATATATATATATATATATATATATATATATATGATGCTGTTAATTAATTTAACCTTTGCCATATGGGTGGATTTGATGTGATGTCTTCTGAAAGGCACACTGCTCAAAAGCTATATATATATATATATTGTTTATTTTGAAACCCCAACAAACACCATGAATGCAATAGGGAATCCCATTATGGGAAGGTGCCATTCAAAAGAAATATGAATATATATAATTTAAAGAGGGAGGTAATGAAAGTGTGGGAACCTCCTCCACTGAACCCCATGTGGGATTTTAGGATATTAGACTTAGATCGCAAGATACTCCATGTTTTTTTATAAGAAATGTTAGATTATATTTGACCAAATGGATTAACTATAACAGTACATGCACCATAATCATATAATGTGACATAATAATGTTTTATAACAATGCCCAACAAAATTCATAGAGATATTTCTAATAATAACTAATATTGAGTTGTAAAAGTTTCAAGAGTTGAAATAATTTACAGAATTTAGAGTTCTGATTTGAATGAATTTCGAGAATTACGTTTACATAATCAAAATTTTAATTTTATCATGTATAGCTTTGGAGTAATATATATAATTTAATTAGAGCATTTGAACGAATTTATAATTATTGAAAGATAGTTATTTTTTCTTAATTCAATCACCACAATTAAATTGCTCAGCAGTGAAGACTATAATACTTGGGAAAAATTAAATTATCAATGGCTCGACTGCATAGTATTAATTCATCATTTCATATGATAACAAAACCTTACTTCGGACAGAATCTTGGTGATGTAATGAATGTGGTACTGCGGTTATAAATACAAACCCAAGTGATTTAAATGCTACAAAAATGATCCTATAACACACACACACACACACATATATATATATACACACACACACACACACCCCACAACTATTCATGGATACTTTTTTTTTTCTTGAACAGAGAAAAGGGTTTCAAAAACAAACTTATTGTCTATATTAGCTTAATGCATTCACCCACGTATGAATATAATGCAAATTTAAATTTAAAATTTAAAAAATAAAGCCAACCACCTAAATCATTTATGTAGTTTGGTTGGTGCAAGTGGGCAGACATCATATCTTGGAATAGATTTATATAAATTATTATACATTTGCATATGTTTATATCTAAAGTTACATATATATATATGTTCATGTGGATATAGCTAGATATGATCGGAGTAAATATATGTTTATGGGGTAAAATATTTATATTCTTTTGGGAAAAAGGTGACAAAAAGTATATTGAATGTACAAAGTTACATGGTTTCACTCTCCACCCAAACTCCTTCCATCTTTATGAAAGTATATATATAAAAAAAAACATAACAGTCAAAATAGACATGAAGAGATCATTGAGGGCTCAAATTCAAATCTTTTATTCTTCTTCTTTGGTCTCCTTTTCATTACCACTATAATCATGACTCCAATATGTCACACATATGTATATACACATAAATCATGAGATCATATCCATAAAGAACAGTTTTTTTTTTCCTTTGAAGACATATTGGTGAGAACTATGCATGCTCACTCTATAGTTTTAGACATACAATTGGATATTTGTGATTACAGAATTGAATTGAATTTGGAAGGGTTGAAAGTGACATTACAAAGGGGGGAAGAGAGAGAGAGAGAGAGAGATCATGGAATTCAGTTTGGATCAAATAATGAATGAAATAATTTTGTTGGGTGGTAGCATCATCATCAATATGGGGAGTGAATGATATTGTGCAGTCCAAAACAGTACATATATATATACACACACACACAGAGAGAAAAATGCTGGGATTGTAGGACCACTACAAGCAGATGGACCATACAGAATTTTGTCCCCAGAGAGAAATCAAAGTCTCCATACATGAACATGTACATGACCCCCCCCCCCCAAAAAAAAAAAAATTGATCTTTTGTATGTGTCAAGTTGCAGAATCATCAAAGTAAATCTAATGGGCCTCCTTCTGTTTTCAAGACAACCTCTGTCTCTGTCTGCGTGCAGGAAAGTTCCCACCTTCTTATTAATAATCAACACACACCGTGCCTTTGAGGAAATCCAAAAGACAATGAAGTATCTTTTTGGTGTGGTTATATGTCTCTGTCATTTCTTTCTTCTGTTAATCCAACGTGACATCTATACACATGTATTGATATATCTATGTATATATATATATGATATGATATGATCCTCCATTAATGGATCAGCCTCAAAGATCTTAGCTTTTATGCTTTTGTATGTGTACCCTTCATTTCAGAGGGGGATATATACATGTATATATATATATATACACTTTGAAGAGACTATCAAGTCGTTTAAAGTGTCACGAAAGTTAACAAAGAATCTAACTTTGGATCTGTGTAAAACGAGATGCCAATCCGACATTGATAGATTTCGGCTGTAAATAGATTTGTTAACATGTTCAAACAAGGCACGGCAACGACCATAAGAAGAACGGAAA